CACCCAAACTGATATGGAAGGTGTCACCATTACAGTCCCTGACTTTGGATCGACATATGCTTTAGACTCAATAGATCCAAATTGGCCAATTTCGTTAGCCACAAAAGCGTTCCACGACTTGATTAAGAAGTTTGAGAAAGACTTGGGCTATACGGATGGCGTCGATATGTTAGGTGCACCATATGACTGGAGATACTTTAGATTTGATGAGTACTCCCACAAAGAGAATTGGTATGAGAACACAAAGAATTTAATTAAGAAAGCTTATGAGACTAATGGCAACAAACAAGTCGTTCTTATCTCACATTCTATGGGCGGGTTAATGACTTATAAGTTACTTGATTATATGGGAGAGGAGTTCACTAAGAAATACGTCAAACGATGGGTCGCCATGTCTGGTCCTTTCCTTGGAGCCGCTAAAACCATTGCAGCTGCTTTCCCCGGGAATAATTTGGATCTTCCTATTAGTGCAGCAAAGTTAAGACCAGTTTGCAGACGCGCTGAAACTATTTCATTCTTGTTCCCAACTGGTGGTAATGCTAATTGGGGTGAGACACCTTTAATGACTATAAAAAGCACTGGAAAGGTATATACAGTAGATGACATGTTAGAGTTGTTGGGAACTCTTGACGATGATTTTAAGAAACAACACAGCTACGTATATGAGAACGGAATCAATGGATTGTATAAGAAGTACAACAATAAAATGCCTTTCGGTATCGAAACTCAGTGTTTGATCTCAAGCCAATACGAAACTATTCTCGGAGTCACTATGGATACCCCAGACTATGACACAGGAAAAGCTACTTTGACTTATGGCGATGGAGATGGAACAGTCAATATCCAAAGTTTGGAGTATTGTGCAAAGCTCGGAGGAATTGTTCAAAACGTCGGAAAATATGACCACACTGGTATGCTTGATGATAAGGCCTCGTATTCTTATCTTAAGAACTTCATTTGTAACTGATTCTTTTTGAATACTTTGAGTTAATAGTGTCATTCACATATTAAATGACAGAAATTCATCTTGTGTTATTTATTGCATATACAATTTATTCTATAATAAACTAAATATTTTACTATACAATAAAATAATATTATTGTATAGTACAGTTAGTTCGGTTTCAAATGAAACAAGTCTCATAATAAATTGAATTTGTCTCAAAACAAATTAAAATTGCACCTATATTCAATTTTGTTTCAAAACAATAACAATTTGTCTCGTTACTTTGTATTTTGTCCCAATAAAAAACAAAAGTGTTTCAAAATGATATAATGTTTCAAAATAATATTAAAATGTCCTAAAAGTAAAAAAATATGTCTCATAAATGTGTAATTTTGTTCGATAAAAATTATAACTTTTCTTTTGAAACCAATAAATAAAGAACATCCAGACCTTGTTTTGATTAAACCAGTTTTAAAATTCACCACTAAAAAAACAAAATAAAATATTCGATCTGTATATTTTTATTCATGGACAATTTCGGGTATATCCCACATTCAGAAGTTATGGAATTTGTTGGTCAATTGCAGCCATTTATTGGTCCTTTGAATAAACCATTAGACCAATTACCGCTTGATGAGTTACCATCGGAAGCTGCTCTTGAAAACGGCGCACGGTTAAGAACAACAACTTCTCAACAGATAACACAAATGCCAATAGAAACAATAAAACTTAAAAGGCCTTATGTGGCAGTGACACAAAATCAAAAACTTCTTTTTTCTTGTCTTTATGAAGAACATGGGGAAGCACATAATGTTCAATGGTATAGCCAAAAGACTCACATGTCGAACAATTCAACAAGAAATTATTTGAACAAACTTAGAAAAAATATGGATATTACAAAACCAGTGAAGATTGGTAGAAAACCCAAATATAGTGACGAACTCTTAAAACGTGCATGTTATCTTTTGTGTCAAAATAGTATGTCACTCAGAGAAACAAAAAAACAACTTGCCGAGGAAAATTTCGCATCTGTTTCCATTTCAACTCTTCAGCGATACTTGGAAAATAGCGACATTATGAATAGCGTGGAACTCGAACCTCTATCTTTTACAGAAGTTACCATCAGAGGAAGAAACGCAAATTCGGAACAAAACAAAGAGTTACGAGTTGTTAGACTTGGTGAGCTGGTGCAACTTCAGAGAAGCGGATACGCAGTTGTTTTTGTGGATGAATCTCACTGGAAAGTCGGAAATGTTCGAACACGTTCATGGGGGAATCGAGGAACAAAACACATTCGAACGACATCTCTCAAGACGTTTAATTTGAGCTGCGTCTGTTGTATTTCAGAGTCAGGAGAAAAGTTTTGTCGAGTGTTCAATGAAACTGTAAATGGTGAGATGTTTTTGGCGTCTTTTCGTCTTCTTGTTGAGCATTTTGTTGGTCTTTTGGGAAATACAGTTTTTGTTATGGACAATGCTTCAGTTCACTTAGCAGAAATAACTACTGAAGCAGAGGCCAAGGGGTGTAAGGTCTTATTTAACGCCCCATACTCTCCAGAATGTAATCCAATAGAGATGATTTTTGGGATATGGAAAACAAGAGTTGGCAAACTTAACAATGATAATATGCTAAATATGCTTACTAATATGGCCAGATGTTTCGAGGAAATAGAAAAAGGAGAAGTCAGAAGGTGTATTGGCCATTTCCTTGGACCAGTTTCGTTAAAAGTCCTTGCTCGAAGTGATCTATAAGTATTTTTGCTTGAATTTGAATTTTAAAACTGGTCTAATCAAAACAAGGTCTGGATGTTCTTTATTTATTGGTTTCAAAAGAAAAGTTATAATTTTTATCGAACAAAATTACACATTTATGAGACATATTTTTTACTTTTAGGACATTTTAATATTATTTTGAAACATTACTTTGTTTTGAAACACTTTTGTTTTTTATTGGGACAAAATACAAAGTAACGAGACAAATTGTTATTGTTTTGAAACAAAATTGAATATAGGTGCAATTTTAATTTGTTTTGAGACAAATTCAATTTATTATGAGACTTGTTTCATTTGAAACCGAACTAACTGTATATGTAATTATTATTATAAACTCTTTTATTGGATATAATAATTACTTTTTTGATATCAAAACATATTGGTAATACATATTTTAGTTAAATTAACCATCAGTTGTTATATTTTTTGTTTAAGATTCAACAATTCTCATTTTTGTTGATTACAATTTTGATTCTTTTTCATTAAATTATCTTAAAAATAAAATAGTAGAACCATTATTTCTCAACTTTTTAGATTTTTTTGTTATGAAAGTTATTACAAAACAATAACGAAAATATTAACTTGAAAAACTCAAGTGTATACAGATAGAGTATTCAATTAATTAAATAAATACTTAAGAAAATTGAGTATTTATTGATGTAAAAATATAGGTTTTATTTTTTTTATTTGTTTTTTTTCAATTTATTACATTTCTTAAAATAAATCTGGCACCCAGTATATTCTTTTTGTTCTTCTTTCTTTTAAATAAGCTGTTATTTTTCCTCTTCACCTTAAAAAAAAGAAGTACAAAAAGAATATATCTATATGTAGTTTTACAGGTTGAAATTAAAATCACATTAAACAAAAACGATAAAGAGAATGAAGAACCAAAATTTTTTATTCTTTCTATAATAAAAACCTCCAGTGTTTCAATTCATAAAGCCTATATGAATTGAATAATAATACCCATATCTACTTAAAAAAAGCAACAAGAACAGTGACATTGTCTGGAGACTTCCTAGCTATCGCCAAATCCACCAAATATCTTGCCACTTCTTTTTTGTTTTCCGGCAATTTCACACCCCATCCGTCTACCCCCTTCTCCTCCAGTAAACTGACTTTCCTTATGATTTGCACTGTCTCTTCGTAATTTATGAAATTCCAAAACCCGTCACTCGCTACCACTAAAAACTCTTCTTCCCCGTCACGCTTTCTCTCGCAGACATATGGCAAACATGGAACATACTGTTTTAACCCTTCGTCTCCGATACTTCGCGATACACTTAACACCCCCTCAACTCGCCACCCATGAAAATTAAATACCTTACCCCCAGCACTCTCTATCCGGCGCTTTTCCTCCTCGACATTACAACAATGCTTTTCACTCAGTACATCAGCCGGTTGTCCCGTACAACTTAACACTATTTCAGTGTCTCCAACATTCATTGCGTAGATGTTTGTTTGCGTGATTATTGCAACAGCAACGGTAGTTCCCGCGTTGACACTAATTGCCTCGGAGATCTCTTTAAACCCTTCTTCGCACCTCAGCGCTGCTATTTCGAGAGACTTCTTGACGTCGACGGGGAATTCCTTGCACCGGATGACTTCATTATATAACTTGAAACAACAGAATTCAGCAGCGGAAGTCCCGAGATGTCCGTCGAAGACGCCGATGAATGTCATTTCCTCGTCTATTGCTTTATTGACGCAACGCAAGTCATCGACGATGATATCATAATCTTCCATTCGTGTTTTTGGCCCTATTTTGCCGTCCCGACTAAGAATCAAAGACTCGTGGAACTCAGTGTTCTCCTCCATTTCGAATTCAGGGACTTTGGAATCGACCTCTGTGATCTTCACGCACTTCGAGGGTGTTGTTGCTTGTGATGTTGAAGTGGAATCGACTGGCGGAAATGTACTCAGTAACTCAAACGGAATTTCTTTTCCTTTGCACTTTTGATAACACAGATAGCCAATTCGATCTGCTATGTCACACTCCCGAATCGACTCTAATCCTTTTGTGTCCGAAGTCGTTTTATTTAAGATCCCTTTAAATGAACTCATCATATCCCCTCGTGTTTTGGTTAACCCTCTGCGTGGGGGTACTCGACCAGAACCTCGAGTTACACGAGAAGTTGATGATGAAGTCTCTGGACGTGGTGGACCTACTTGCGGACCAACCGCAATTGGGGGTTGTGCAGCTTGTTTACTTTTCTCTTCACTCTCTTGCGAATTCATCACTTTTTTAGTTCGCTTACACTAAAAAAACTTCGTAGTTTTTTCTTTCTTTCTGGGGATGGGAAATGAATATATATGGGTTTGTTCGGTTGGAAATGAGCGCTGGTTTTGTTATAATTCATTTACTATAATTATGTGGCTTTTGTCATTTGAGAGAAACAGTTTTTTTACTTCTTCTAAAAAAACTGGAAATATATGCAAAAACCAATCGGTGCAAAATTCGTGAAAAAGTCAACGAAAAAATCCGCGCTCGCTAATTTCATCGAAGAGACAAAACCCGCAAAACCAGAAACTCACAAGTCAAAAATCACAAACGTGTTTGATCTTCTCTTTATCACTTTCTATTCGCGTTTTGTTGAGGTACTTTGATTTCTCTCTTTTCCGCCATTTCCAAACTATAATTATTTTAGTATTATTAATATATCTTTATTATGATCATCAGTCATCAATGATATACTATAAATTTACTTCTATTTTCATCTACATATAATATTAATACTTATAGATATGTATGTGATGAATAATTCAATTGACAATTAGATTAATTGGCCAGAAAGAAACACAAAATAATGAAACAAAAAAAGACATCACAGTCATCCCTCTCCCAAAACAATCTTTTGGGAAGAGTATACTCGAGCAAATGAAGAGACGGAAAACACTCGAAAAGGCAAGTGGAAATTTTTCTGATAAATACAAAGACCTCCCACCTCCAACCGACTCTCAAGCATACGAAGACATCCCTGTCGAGAACTTTGGGGCTGCGATGTTGAGAGGTATGGGCTGGAAAGAGCCACAAACTAAAGAAGTCAAAGACAGCAAAGAATAACACTTCAAATAACATTTTTGTTTTCTCATCGCGCATGAAACTATAAATAAATTATACAATAAACTACATTAAAAAGTAAAAAAAATCAGTCATCTTTTACTTTGACGTTTTCCGAATTTTGAGTTTCATCTTTCATTTCGCTTTGCTGATTTTCTTCTTTGTGCTCTCCTTCAACTTCTTTCTTTCCAAACTTGCGTTTAAGAGCAAAGTAAATTGACCTCAGTATCAATACGATTGTTGGTAAGTTTGACTTTACTTCGTTTTGAATGAGATAATTTCGTTTTTGAATGACGATGTCTATAGTGTTTCCAACGCCAAGTGCAAAGACGGCGAGTGTGAGAGCGATAACATTGTACAACATTGAAAAGTCTGGTGCTGGAATTCCAACAAGAAGATTGTTGGACACAATAACTCTCTTTTCGACGTTCTTTTCATAGAGAATGCCAACAACAGATGGTACGTCCCACCCCTTTTGTGGCTCTTGTGAGTGCATATGTCGTGGTTGGTAGACATAAGACACTGCTATTTCCACATTCAAAAGGTGTTGGGGGTGTACAGTGAATGACATTGGCAATACATTTGCTGTATACACCTTTTCAGCCTTTTTAGGAAAGGCCGTTTCACCGCATGGAAATGCCTCTCCGTTACTCAAACAGTTCACCTTTTTAGGGTTAAGGAAATATGGTATAGAAAACATAACAGCAAGACTAAGTGACGTGTTTCCTGTATTACGAAAGGTGTAACGGAGTCGTCCATCACTTATAGAATTGTCACCAGCACCAGAGACATACATATATCTCTGTTCGATGGGTAAAGTATTTTCAAGCACCACATCACTGTTCCGCATTAAGACTAAGCTTTTCCTCCCTGAGAATGTCGTGTCTTTCTTAAGTAATTTTCCATTCGCAATGATCGTGTGTTTTGAGAGGACCTTCACCATCCCGTCGGTGTAGTCGTCATAAAATGAAAATACTTTATGAGTGCCATGCACACTTTTTATAATGAGGAATACGTCTGCAGTGAATTCAGTGAGTGTTTGGCGAATTCTGAAAGTGTATAAGTCGCTTGTTAATATTTTGTTTGAGAGTAAATTGGAATGCGCCATTTTGGGGAAGAGTGACCGGACTCGAATCACATTTTCAAGACAACTCCAGTCAGACGGAGCAACAAAGTAATGTGTCACGGTCATGTTATGAATTGCGTTTAAAATGTCATGTGGGTGAACAGAGATACCTTGATACCCTGTGTTCTGTAATAATGTGGAAAGTGCTAAGTAATAAGTCTGGTCAAGACGGGAAGTAGCTTCTAAAGCTATCACTGAACCACTTTCAACTGAAAATGGAAGTAAACCATATTGCTCTGACCACGTGCCTCTGCTCATCACAACTTCACTTTGAGTCACATTATACCGGCGATTTAAATAAAACATTGCTGGCAAATTGTTGCCATCGGGATATGAAGAAGACTGATCGGTGTGCGACCAAAGAAATTTGATGTGGTGGAGGTAATCCCCATTTGGTAAAAGAGTGACTTCCATTGTGGATTCACTCTGCGCATATATAACAAGTGTTGTTATGAAAAGAAGAAGTAGAGGTGCCATTTCGATTTTTTAGTTCTGTTTTTAATAACTTTTATTGGTTATATCCATTTCTAGTGAAAATAGTGACTTGGTGAGAGTATTTATTCTTTGATTAGTCGAGTGTTAATTCAATCTGAACCACCTTTGTTGAGTATAGAAGAACTCAAAGTGACGAAACACAACAACGTGAATAAAGTAAAGTTGTTTAAAAAAGCAGTCAATCGGCTTGGTGGTTATATAAAACGTCAAAAATGTATTATAGAACAAACCCTACTTTTTCCTCTTATTCTCTTCAATATTTTCCATCACCCAACTTAATAATACAGTTTTGAAGGATAATTCGTATTCAAAAAAACAACTAGTTTAATTATAATATTAAACTATAAATTTATGGTTTTTGATGGATAAAACGTGAGTTGACTCAAAAGTGCTTCAATAGACTCTCATTCTAAAGAAATAATAATAATCAAGGTTTGAACAACTTCAAAACCAGACGATGCGAGTACTGATTCGGTTCTATGAAAGCCAACCAGAATTTCGCTTTGCCGAATTTGACAGTCTGATTCATCTCTTTAACGTCCGTTGTGTTTATGATGCAAGTACGATATGTAATGTCTATTTATATGCGGACTTTGATTCCCTTGAAGATATTAAGAAGGTTTGTTCCCGCTCTGTACTGATAGAAACAGTTTATGAAATATGGGGAGAGGCGAAGACGTATGAAGAATTGGTTCCGATAGTCTATTCCAAGGCAGATGAATTGATACCCATCTATAAAGGAAAGACCTTCAAGTTGAAAGTGACATGTTTTGGCAAGAATTATAGAATTCCTGAACAAGTGAAGATCTTTGACAAATTTAAAGATTTTAAGCTGTACGATTATCTTGGAGCTGTCGATTTGAAGAATCCTGACTTGAACATTTCGATCATGGAAAATATCGGGCACTTAAAGAAGACCTCTGATGTCCCACAGAACATTTATTATGGAATTGAGTTGTGTTATGGAAATAGAAAATTAATGACACACTTCAGTCTTAAGGTCCGTCCATATATTGGGACTACTTCTATGGACCCTGAATTGTGTTGTTTAATGTCCAACTTTGGGTGTTGTCGGGAAGGGAGTGTGATGTGTGATCCATTTGCAGGGACTGGGTCAACCCTAGTTACTTCTGCGTACTTTGGGTCGTATGTTCTTGGGTTAGACATCTCTAATGTGACTCTACGAGGTAAAGAGTATTATCAAAACATGACAAAGAAGACAACGAAACCAATTGTGGATGTCACAACTAACATCAATTATTACAAATTGAACGACAAATTTTTAGGGTTGGTGACTAATGACTTCGCAATGAGCTCATTAAAGGTACGTCCAATGTTCGACTGTATCGTCACAGACCCACCTTATGGTATCAGAGAAGGCGCTCGAAAAGTCGGGAAACGACACCCAGATATGGAACCACGTCCTGTTATTTGGGGTGAGGATTATCACCAACATATCCCACAAAGAATTAAATATGGCGTCGACCAGATATTACACGACTTATTCAGATTCGCCGCAGAAAACTTGGTTGTTGGGGGGAGACTTGTATTTTGGTTCCCTGTCATTTTCCCACAAGACCATGGTAAATTGTTCCCAGAGATGGTTATGGGTTGTTTAAAAAGAGAATCTAACTGTTTACAAGTCCTGTGCAACTCTTGGGGAAGAAGACTCATCACCTTAACTAAAGTAGCAGAGTTTAAAGGAGAGATGGACGAACCAACTGAATGGGAAAAAGGGCTCGATACATTCAGAGAGACTGTGATGAACACAGAGAAGACTAAATAATTTTAGAGTGTGATTTATCTTTCTTCTACTTATTTTAATAGATAAAGTTAATAGTATAGTTCAATTATAGTTTTTCAATTTTAACTATTTTTTTTATTAATAATTTAATAAAACTAATTACAATAATTTAAATTAAAAGAAACTAAAAAATGTTATATAAAATGGTTCTTGATACATTATTATTAATATTAATAAAATTATTAATTGAAAAAAATAATAACATTTTAATACCAAAATGTATTTATAAATTTAATATTTTTAATACTAACTGAGAATTCAATTAAAAGATTAACAAGTTAAGAAAAAAGATTTTCTTGATAGAAAAAAAGGGAGTAAAGGGTAAAAGAAAAAAAGAAACAAATTCGAATAATAATTCAGTTTATAATTAAAAAATAGATGATAAAGTAAATTGGATTTTTTCTAACACCCGAAATTTTGAAGAAGATTATTTCTAAAATATTTGGATTAACAAAACAATTCGTATTTTACTATAAATTGTAATAAAATATCAAAAAATTAAGAAACGAACTTAATATTATTTCAAATAAAATAAAAAGTTCGTTTTTGTCTATAAAAAAAACGCAAAAATCAATCAAAGTAAAAAATGGTGCAAATTAAGTAACTATTGTCAGTAACTATTTTTTAAAAAAGCTCTTTATTAGAATAAGGTAGATTAAAGTCAATGAATTCAAAGAAAAACATATTTTATAATTATAGAATTTATTTTTTCTAATAATACAGAAGAAAAATGATTTAAATTCTATAAATAGCACAACTTCAAACTATTAATTATAACAAATAAAACAAGACATTAGCTATTTCAACCAACGGACCAACAGACAGAAATGATTAAAATAGATATAAATCAAAGATGTGAGAAAATGAATGAAATGCAAAACGACGGGACAGAAATTAGGAAAATTATACAGGAACTGCTAAACTCTTAAGTATAGTCTTATTGACGACTTTATGAGTACAACAAATTCAGAGTCGATCATCATCCCGTCGCAGTGCATCGGCAATAACGTGGGCGTTTCCGACTACCCATCGATTGTGAGTGTGTATAGTGCAGTCAGCGTCATCAACAACGCCTTTGACGATGTCTTCGATTCGGGAAGTATGGCTGCCCAACAGATACAAGGCACTGAGTCTTCAAGTCACTTGGCCTACTATGGAGAGTCCTCCATGTACGCCACTGACTGTTCCAGTAACTTGGATAAACACTCTTCGAAGATATCTTCAAATTTACAAGTCGAGGACAACATCGAGCCGCAAGGGATCATTAACGCCACTGTTCCAGAGGAGGTGGTTCCTCATAAAGAAATAATAGTCCACGACGTTGCTGTCAAAAGTCATCGAGTGAAAAAAGGCGATAAGCCGGTGGTCGTTGTGAAAGAGGCGAAGCCAAAGGAATTGAAGGACAAACACAAGAAGAGAAGCAAAAAGTGAATGCAAAGCGGTGTGTGTATTTAAATTTAGTTTTTTGTCGTTGTTGAGCCGAATCGGTCGAACTTGCTTTTTTATCGCAATACTTTTGTTGGAAGAAATTAATAAAAGTATTATTATTATATTACTTATTATTAATTAAACCAACTTTTCGAAATAAAAAACTTATTCATTCCCTACACTCGTTGGTTGGTCGAATTACCCTCGTTTCTTGAAATGTAATTGATTTATAATTTATTTATTATTAAAACATTTATTTGTTTATTTATTTAACTCTTTAAAATTTAATTAAAATAAAATTGTTAGTATTATAACTAGAGTAAGTTGTAAAACGTTGTCCCAGTCGCCAACGTCGTTCTTTTAGTCTTATTTGAATAAAAATTAGAACATTCTATGCATTTTTGTCGATTAAACAAAATTAATTTTTGTTTACCATTATTAATAATATGTTTAAATGATCCCGATTTTAAGACATATATCATTACAAATTAAAATAATTTTATCCAAAAAGCAAAAATCAAAAACACCATTTAAATAAAAACTTTAAACATTTTATTTTTTTTTCTGAGATTTTTTTGAACAATTGTAAAACTAGAAATTAAAAAACAAACAATATTATGTCGAACTCGACATCAACGACAACTCAAAATCATAGTTCACTTCCAGTGCATGTTTTTTCAAGAGCAATAAACATCAATTTTGATGGTGTTGATTTTTTAAAAATCAAGTCCATCGTAGAACAATGCAAAGAAGTCTCTGTTGTGAAGCTTGATCAATCACTTTCGAGATTGAAAGAATTAGAAAATACTTTGATGAGCAACATTAAACAGAGTTATTATGACTATAACAACCTTTCAAATTATCTATACACGAATTTAGACAGTTCTCTTATTTTATTCGAAGAGAGAATAGAAACCGCTTTGAAGATCATTGACTCTGCAAATATGATAATGTCATTGACTGGGCAGTTGAACTCGGTCAATACGCTGATAAAAACGTGTTTGTTATATTTAAAGCAGTGTCGTCATGACAAAAAGACTGGTTATGATCAGTTAATGGAGTTTTTGATTGACGATAACCTTCCGATACCAGACCAAACCATTACAACACCATTAAATAATACAACGAACAATACTGTAACTGAAATAAGACAAAATGTTATTGTAGATAACAACGATGTTGAAGTATTTTTAAACAACACCGTTCAACAAGATGATTTTACTGACACCCAACAACCAGAAGAAGAAATGAGTGAATCAAGTGTTGATATGGAAGAAATTGATATCACAGCAAATCGAGACAAACAGATAAAAGAATCCCTCAAAGATGAAGACTTTGATTGTACTGGTCTCTGGGATTACCTTGAGGAGCACAAAAAGGAAGATATACACAGCGAAGTCATTACTCACCTTCTTCGATTCATGAGGTTGAAACGAAACTTAACAGCTCCAAATCGCAGAGTTCAAATGTTCCGCCTCTATGAATACATGAAGAAAAAAACTGCACTGGAATCATTTTCTTTTGTATCAAGTCTTACTTCTGCATATTCCAAGGATGTATGGAAAAGGCAGATTGGTCTTGTAATAAAAGCTCCTGGAAGTTCAGGAAGAAGTCGAGTTTTTTCCGAGGAAGAGAAAAGAAAAATTATCAACTTCATTGAACTACGGGAAGACGCTAAAGATCCAGCTGGATATCCAGAGTTGCTTTCTTTTGTACTAACAACTTTGGGGAGAGAGGATATTGACCTCAAAATGTTGTACACTTCCGTGAACAAAATGGCCAAATTATCCACCATAAAAGCGGAGCCGATGGAAGAGGAAAGAGTGGAGGTACAAACAACAGAGATTGTTGCGTATTTTGAGTTTCTCTCCAAGTACGCCAATGGCATTCCAGTAAGTTTCATATTCAATTGTGATGAATCAGGATTCCAAAGGTGGGTAGATAAAATGACAAGAACGGTCATTCTTTTAAATAGACCAAGATCTGGTGTTGTCAATGTACCCATTAGACGCGCAGGAAGTCGAACAACATTGATGGCAGCAATTTGTATGGATGGCACAGCACTGAAACCTTTTTTCATTATACCAACAGAAAGTGTTGAAAAGGAGCTTTTAGAATTGGGTTTGACAAACAATAAAGCGTGCCTGAAGTACACAAAAAAAGCGTTCATGACAAATCAATTATTTGAAGAGTGGATCCGAAGTGTTTTTATTCCCGAATTGCTTGAAAAAAGAAGAAAACATGGTTATAGCGGTATGTCAATTCTTGTAATGGATGGTTACGGTTCTCATCTTGGAGTAGGCGCTGTAGAAATGTTGACAGAGAATAACGTCAAAATAATACTACTCCCCCCACACTCATCTCATTTGTTGCAAATGTGTGATGTGGGGATATTTGGAAATCAGAAACGGGCATGTACAACTGATAAATCGTTGATGAATGACACATACGGTCACCTTTCCTATATATCTGTACAAATTATGTCGATTGTCAACTCGTGGGAAAGAGTGACCACATCAAAGAATGTGGTGTCTTCCTTTATTGCATGCGGGTTAGTACCGAGACTACTTCAAAACTTGAGTACAGTATGTGAAGTGGTGCCATCTTCATGCACGAAGCTGAATTGCTTTTTCGAGCAGCAAGAAATTGACAGATGTATGAATGAGATGTCAAATGAAGAAGGCGATAATATCGACAATGTCAAAAAGGAAATATACAAAACTTTAAGAAAAAACGCAAGAGATTGTGCCAACTCGCAATTAGAAACCAAGTGTGGAATGATTTTGTTTAAAAGGAAAAGAGTTAAATTGCTCCAGTTCAACAAAACAATTGTTTACGAGTGATATTTTGTTTGCTCTTTAGTTTGAAAAATCAACGAGTAAAAGATAATTAAAAACTCTTTTTTTATAATTTTATGATGATTATTCAAAGTAGTTTTTCGTTAGTTAAAATGTGTTAATTTATTTTATATGTTAATTATTGTATATGGTAGTATAGTTTTATAGTTAAATAATTACACATAATATAATCTATATTATTATAACTTTAAAACTATACTTATAATTAACCTAAAAAAAACTCTAAGGGTTTAACTGATTCTTCAGATAAAAAATACAAGGTCTGTTTAATATCGAATCAACCATTGACTTACGTTATAGGAATTGCGCTCTTCAGGTATATACATTTCTTCAATATTCGTTGCAACTATGGTGCTAGAGGTTTGTTTTATGCACATTAACATCCAAATGTTTATTTTTTCATTTTGTGTGTTTGAAACATTCAGTTTAACTAACATC